ACACCAAACATGACAATGGTAAGCGGGCATTAATCAAGCTGACAATCGGTAATGGAGCAGGAAATACAAATACAAAACTGAATGAATCTTCGAGTGGTCTTGTGTGTTTGTGGTGTTTTCGAAGGTATCATCGAAGATGCTGGGAAACCATCGAGGATGATCAAGACAAAATCAAATGTGATTACGGCAAATTTAAGTAAACTCAGATTGAACATTTTCATATTATCTTTATGTTGTTATTCATTTAGAGACATTATAGTTCGCCCTCAATGGCTACGTTGCATAGCTAATTCTTCTTTTGGATTTCGTGCGCAAATGCTGAATTATCTTGAGACGAACGATGTATCGTCAACACCTGTTATATTTTTCATCAATAAACTTTCCGGCGGTCAAAAAGGTGATCAAGTCTATCGTACGCTTGTTCATCTACTCAATCCGCGACAAGTATTTTTACTCGAAAATGATACAACGATTATGCAAGCTCTAAACATCTATTCGTCTCTGTCTAACATACGTATTTGTATTTGCGGTGGTGATGGCACAGTTGCCTGGATACTTAGTCGACTTATGGATGCGTTTCCGCCGTTGAAAAATCCACCGGTAAGCATTTGTCCATTAGGCACTGGTAATGATATGTCGCGTGCTCTTGGTTGGGGATATCGATACAAACCGAAACAGCTAATGGAAACACTTACGCGAATATCTCGTGCACATTCAACGCCACTTGACCGATGGAGAATTCAAATCGAACCATTGGAAATCAACAGATCCAATAACGAATTTGTTAACAGACGTCGACGTTTTTCCTCGTTCATGAGACATCCAAAGTTCATTCGCAATGCTGAGCAGCCATTCTACGACAATCATCGCACGCCGATCAATACATACTTTTTCAATTATATCAGTTTTGGACTGGATGCAGCTATTGTAGTTGATTATTATGCGAGTCGAACACGTCATCCATCCAAATTTACATCGCCACTTAAGAATAAAATCCTTTGTATAAATGAAAGTCGGAAATATTTCAACGACTTTGCCTTTGGAATAGCATGGGACTTAACTTCATATATACGTTTAATCTGTGACGGACAAGATTTTACCGATTCGATACGACATTGTCATTCTCTTATTGTGCTCAATACTCGAAGCTTTGGTTCTGGTACTCATCCTTGGAGTGGAAAATCAAAGAATAGAATTGAATCATTATCAGATGACCATGAAGAAGATGATTCTTTCGATCAAATTTCGACACATTCTCTTCCAACACATGATTCACCTATCAATGATCATGATGAAAATCAAGCGACAACGACTATTGGTGGTCTCGGCCGCGCTGCTTTAGATAATTTCGAGACACAGGATTTTGGTGATCGAAAGATTGAGGTACTCGGTTTAAATATAAGACAAATGGCTTTAATTCGCATGGGTTTTCGTGGTCATCGCATTACTCAATGCAGTCAACTACGCATTGAACTTAACCATCCGATGCCGGTACATATGGATGGTGGACCTTTTTATCTCGCTGGATCGATGGCTGTCAATATCACACATGCTGGTCAAGTCATGGTCTTAACAAATCACAACAGATAAATTTGAAGTTTTTTTTAATGGCAAAGATATTACTTTTGGATATTTGATTCATGAGAGAGAACAATAACACTGATCTTAAACTACCGTAGTAAATATTCAGAAACAAAATCAACAATGGCTTTTTTTCGATACAGACCGATTCTCTCTCTCCCTCTCTCTTCGAACTAAAAATTAAACAATGCAATCTACAGTGTACGTCAAAAGTCTTGCACCACTTTTTTGTTTTGAGTGGTATATTAAAACTAGACAACATTAATTTAATTTGATTATATGCCTGTATAGTAGAAGTCGAGTACTCTATATATACATCTGTTTAATACGAAGAACTCTTGAATATAAAATACAATAATAAGAAATAAAGTTCAGTCCTAAGAAAAAAAAAATGACATAAAAAAAGAAAAAATGATAATACATATGTTTAGAAGACTGTTTTGTTTTGCAATAGGGATTGTTTATACAGATTTATTGAGCTTTCGATGGCGCATCTTTTGAACAAAAATTCAAGATGCTATTGTTTTCTTCGGCCGAGATACATACAAAATATAAAAGTCTTCCAAATATTTTTATTATGTTAAATAAGGTGAGAAGTAGCACTATCATGTTTTTTTTCATTTCGAGCATGGAAGAAACCATCAGAATAAGTCAAAAAGGATTTGTTTTTACAGTTTTTGTAGAGCTGTGCAGAGATATTCATGAAACAAACTATGTTGCAAACATTTTGGAACACCAGGCATTTCAGTGTTTAATATTTTGACTATAACAACGTCATTTGTTAATGAAATTCAAAATGTTTTTATTTTTTACCAAAATGATTAGCGAGAAAAGCTCTAGAAAGTCTGATAAAGTGAAAAATTTTCTGAATACTTTATACTTTTTGTGATTGATGATCCATGGCAGTATCCTATTACAACCATACCATTTTGTCTTTTTGTTTATGTTATTTTTTTCTTTTTATTGTCTTTTATATATTCAAGAATTTTTTATATTAAACAAGTGTATATACATAGTGCTCGACTTCTACTATACAGGCATATAATCGAATTAAATTAACATTGTGTAGTTTTAATACATCACTCAAAACAAAATACGTGGTACGAGATTTTTGACGTGCATTGTAGATTAATGAAAAATTCAATTCATTCCATCATATATATCATAATATAATATGCACTATTGGAATATTATTTCTCGTACAATAACATACTCTTTGTGTATGATCAATTGACAGAAGATCAAACGTTGAATGTATGAATATTAGATTTAGAACAAAATAATTCGATCACTTTTGAAAAACAAGAAAGCTTCGAATGAATAACAAATTTCCTTAGGATATGTGCCTTTAGGAACTTCACCTAGAGTCCTATCTATTTTTCTGTAATTGAATTCCACTGAATGAAATCTACCTAAATCTTGAATGACGATATTCAGATCTGAAATTTCATCCACAGATAGACATATTTATAAGTAGAATGTTCTCTTCATGAGATATTCAATTTCCAAAAGCTACCCATATGCCACAAAAATATTGAAGAATCTCGTGTTTTTATATCTATAGGCGAAATTTCAGATCAAACTATCGTCATCGAAGATTTTGGTAGATCCCATAACAAAGAATTCTAAAAAAAAGTTGCTGGATTTATGAAAATAAAATTGGGATCAAAACTAAAAAATTGATTTTTCAGTTTTCTATTTTTGAAGATATATTAGAAATGTTTGTTAAATATTAAAAAACTAAATCAGCAATTTTTGTTCTTTCATTTCCATATTCTTTTTTTTTTTTTACAAAAAATTTCGTTAATTTTGAAAGTTTCAAATCAATTTAAGCGAAAAACGTCAAGAATACATCAAGTGTTAGAAATAATCGCATTTTTTCTTATTAATTTGTGAATAATTTAAGGATAAAGTTAAGGAACATCATATTCGATCTCGTACAGTAAAAAGTAAAAATGACATTTATCTTTTTATGATTGGTCGGTTTTTCAAGCTATATCTCACTATAGTTAAAGGTAAAAAATGGAAAAAAAAAACAAAATAAAATCTACACTCATGACAGATAAAAATACATCATCATAATATCATAAAAGGACGTCGTTTTGGCTTGTTCTCGGCTTTCTTCATAATAAACTAGTCAAGCATGTCTGTACATGCTATTAAGTTAAAGTGATGTTGTTATTTTTAACGTCGTTTCACTGATTAATCGTATGTATTTTATATAAATTGTGTAAATCGTTATTAATAAGAATAAATCAATGTATCATGATTATTGTGTTTCATCAAAAAGACATCTGTCCTATAGGCGAGTTATATAAGAGCTATTCCACTTAACTCCTCATTGCTGTCCTAGTATCCGCATGGACCCATCATAGAAAATTACAAAGAACCAATACTTTTGTTTCATTCAAACTATTCATTTGTATTCTATAGACCTCTAAATACCCTTTTAATAAAAACTGACATGACAGTTTCCATAGTACTAATATGAAGATATACAACGTTCGGGAAAAAGATTGTTTGAAGCTGCTTTCAAACAGTATTCAAGTATAATATTATAGATGAGACGAAAGGCAGTTTTTCTTCTTTAGATATCTTTTTCTTTTTTTTTCATGATTAAAAAATTGAAAGACAATCATTTTTCTGTCACAATAATGAAGTTGTTCTCATTTAACCTTCTTTGGTGAATTCAATATTTTCTTCACATATCAGACAAGCTACTATAGTGATATTGCTAGAATGAGGAAGACAAACATTCTGTCTACAGCTATGGGAGCTTTATTAGACATTTCAGCCAGATTGTGCTGAACACAAATAACATATTCTTTTTGCTTCCATATGTTGCGGAGTGATCTTCTTTGTACATTTATCAATTTGAAAGAAAATAAGTTAGAAATTAATAAATAAATCTTGACTATTAATCGATTGCTAAATAGTGATTTACAAATTTGATCCTTATTTATGAATCGAGACTGAATTTATTAGTCTGGTAAGAATCGAAAAATCTAAGATCAATATTGGAATATACAGTGAAAGTGATTATAAATCCGGAAACAACTTGAGAACTTTGAGCTTTTCAAAAATGATTTCTGATTCTTCATTGAAATTTCTTGAATATGAAGTTTATTTGCATAAAATTTCAACACAATACATTTATCATCTATTTTTGGCAATTTTAGTTTTTGATACATTTTGTTTGAAATCTTCCAAAAATGATTTCTTCAAATTCAATTATTGAACCATCGCACGAATATTGTAAATATGATGTTAATTGCAAAAAAGCAGCTATGAATCACTGTCAAGGATGCGAACAAATATACTGTATGGATCATTATTTGGAACATCAAAGAAAACTTCAAGAAGATTTTGAATATATAATACATATACAACACTTATTTAGGCTAAATTTCAAGTCATTTATGTCACTATCATCAACAGATACTATTTTAGATTTAAAAAAACAAATTCATGAATTCAAAACCAAATCAAAAGAAATTAAAAAAAGAATAAATATAATCCAACAACAGCTACAGGATATCATTTATCAAGATAAACAAAATTTGACAAATAGATTAGAACATTATCAGAATGATTGTCTTGAAAATGATATTGAACGATTAAGAAAAGATATTGAGGAACTACAATCAAAACTAGAAGAAATAAATCATGAAAATCAAACAAGACCATCAACAGAACAGCTGCATATAAATGATATAAACATTCAATCAAACAATTTACCTCAAACAATGAAATCATCGTCAACAAATCTTGTATCAGCGAACAAAAAAAATTGTTTACGATCTGTTGTTGATATTTCAAGAAATAGTGCGATACAACAAGCAGATGACACAACAGCACTACCTCATCGATATCTCAAACAAATGAATCCATTGATCATAGATATAAATGAAAATGAACGTGTTCTAACTGACGAAGAGAACGAAACGTATCTCTTCAAAGAAGAAGAAATGATAGGGGTTATCGATTCTAATACAACATCAAGGATTAGTCATAAGATACGTCTTTCCCATAACTATATTCGATGGATACGAGGTCCCGCTAAAATAATGATGAATGGTATGACACACGTGGCTGACGTGTATACACAAGGAATACATATCAATGGTGCTGTTGTACAAGCTATCAAGCAAGGATTAGACAAACAAAAGCAGAATGCGATGACCAAGAATTCATTAAAGTCAGCATTTACCGAAATTACACCAGATTGGACGTTTGAAGGCGAAAATGCTGATCGGGGTTTCATTAGCGTATCGATATGGATGCGTGATCCTCAAGGCCGAAGGATTTTAGTCAAAACACACGGACATCCATTATCTGCTGTCAATGAATGGCTAGCCTATATTCTAGGAAGATCGCTTGGTTTGCCTGTTAATGAGGTGCAGATTGCGATTTATCTAAATAAACTGGTTAGTTTACATACCGATATTGCAAATGAAAATGAAAAGACTATCACATTCATGGACTTACCAAAGCAAACAAGAAAATCTCTATTGACTTATTCAATAATGGAATCTATGGATCTATTCGATCATATTATACAGAATGTAGATCGTACTCCACGAAATATTTTAATTACAATGCCAAATACAACTTCTATTACTGATGATACTTCAATATTGAAGATACATCTAATCGATCATTCTTTCTGTTTTGGCGTAGGTAAACGTGATGTCATTAGTGCCATAGCCTGCAAGCTTCATAGTAAATATCTTTCGGTGGTTAAATTTGATCCAGTAGATGAAGGAAGAAAATTCGAACAATATCTCAACAAACTACCGATAGCAGATCGGACTATAATAAGAAACACGTTGAATCGATTTGCAGCAATTACTGATGATCAATTTGATAGTTGGATGAACGAAGTACGTGATCTCCTATCATCCAGTCAATACAATCGTATACATGATGTCTTATGTCGACAACGAGACATTGCAAAATACTACACGGTACAATGGGGAATTTGTCCCACTTATTCAAGTATAAAACCAAACGAAGCGAACCAACCAACTCATGTTCGAGATAAATGACATTATCATGGATTTATAAATAAGAGAGAAAATATCTTGATGATGAGGGTGAAGGCGTGGGTTTTAAATAAATTCAATAAAGAATTTTGAAAAATTTTCGAATAGCTCCTACGACGTGCTTTGAATTTTACTCGCAGATCGAACTTAGAAGAAAATATATTGTGAATAAAGCTTTTCATTAGATTTTATAATGATTTTCATGTGAGTTGTTTCCTTAATTAAGATATTGATTCGGGTTTTTGCTTTTCTAAATAGTAGTGCGAAAATTTTTGTATGGCGACTTATCTAAACATAACACTATGACACATTTTTTTCCTAGAGACATTTCTTAGGTCTCTGTAAGGTTCAAAATTCCCTGCTTCATTAAAGTGTACTTCTGCTACAGGTTAGAAACACTCAGGAGTAGGCATGCATCGAATCCGAACGTTCAAGTTCAGTATCATCCTAAGTACATTTCCGAAATAATAATATATACTAATTGATCATTGCTACGATCAGATAGGTGTGAAAATGGCTGACCATCACCCACTACTACTCAACAGTATGTATTCGACTTTCGATAATTATTTACATCGTGAAATAATTTCTCACTATTCGACATTCTCGTCGAACGACAGGGTGTGGTGGGTGTGGGTACGAACAGAATAAGGACATCGTATCCGTATACTCACACCCACACCCTATTATATGGGAGTATCCATAGGTACTACGGATTATTATATGGGGGTACGCATAGATCCTCAAGGGAATAAGGCAGCAAGAGAGTAGGTAATAACGAGTAGAGCAATAAGGAGATAAGACTATAAGAGCTACAAGGAATATAAAGCTATAAGGTCGAAGGCTACCTGGACTAGGGCGTGGGTGTGGGTGTGGGCGTAGTCGTGGACGTGACTCTTCTCTGCAAACAATTACACACCCACTCACACCCACATCCTAATTCAGCTATGTGAGGACAACGGGGTATGATTATAGATACTGATTTTAATGTGCGTGTATATGCTTCTGGCTTTCAATAGGAAAAAAATCTCCGATCAATGCATTTTCATGACCCGCAGTTATACCGACACCTACACCACAAACCCTCGCACTCATACTCATCCACATCTACACCCACCCGCACTCACACTTACAGGCTAAATCGAACGAAACCGATCTAGTTTTTTAAAAGTTCGTATTAGACAGATCCTATCTCGGGTTTTAAATGTATGTGCCATTATTAAAAATAAATAATGTAACATAAAAATAGTTATTTAATAGTTTAGGAATCTGCTTAAAAAAATTTCTACATAAATAATGACAAGAAAATCTAAAAATTCAAATAATTCCAGTATAGTTTTTTTTAATTTTTGTAGTTTTTGTCTGAAACAATGCTTGTATAACACATTTCATGTCGTATATAGTGTCCATGAAATATACATCATTCCACAGGTTTTGTTTTTACGGCTTTCAATATTAAATACCGCCAATGTACAATTCCACTTTTATTTTCATCAAAATAATGATATGCATTATCTGCTTCTTGCCAATCATTTTCGACGAATTCAGGTGCTTCTGATTCATCTAATTGTTTTTTACCCTCATATTTCCACCAACAATTGTTAAAACCACACAGTATTGGGTTAACAAATTTGAAACACTTTGGACATTTTGTTGTTTCGCGACTAGGACCTCCCACCACATCAAATTCTATGTAGCCCAGGGACATAATGACTTGATTACCGTTAGCTACGCAATGTTTATTTTTACATATTCCTTCCAAACATAAGCCAGGATATGCTATTCTCCAATCTGGAGCCGTTTTTCCCCATTCTACTCTTTTTAAACCTGCATTATTGCTAACATCAACGAAGCGTCTTCCGAAACATGGATTACGACCCACAAAATCATAATAGATCAAATTCAACATAGAATCAGATTCTATGTTATAATCGAAGAGTGTTTTATCATCTTCACCGAATTCAATTCCATCAAGTTCCAGAAGTATTTTTTCAAGATCTTGTTGTCGTTTAGCCTTTTGAACATATTTCTCTTTAAGTTCTCGAATAGTTGTTGTTTTTTCAACATCGAACACATAAGATGTTGAATTTCCAACTGTTGAAGTAATAAAAATTCGCATGGAATTATTATTATTATTAAACTTCTATAATCAAAAACAAAAGCAAATGAAATAATTGATGAAATAATGTTAAATTGAGATAATTTTCTTTTCTGTTTCCAGTTTTATTAATGTCAGATAGTAAAAGAAAATAAAAATTGATCATTCATCAGAGACAGTTTTCCTTATTTTCAAATAGATCGTGATAGAGTAAAAAGTGTTACGAATTAAATATCTTGAAGAACAATTAAAGAAAATTATCATTTTATGAAATTAAGAACATTATTTTAGTACTATACTATAAAAAAATTATTTTCTATTATCATGAATAACTAGGGCTGCTTAAAGAATCATCGTTTTTTCTTTTCGATATTTGGCATATGTTTAAAGTCATATTAAAATATACCTCTAAGTCCATAAAATAAAGAATTTATATTTCTACAAAATAGCCAACATTGTTTTTCAAATTGCCCTTTTTTATCTGTAGGAAATTACAAACATATCTAAACTTATTCATTCGACTACTTGCAAATATGTATCTTCTCTAGAAACGTATAGAATTTTTGTTAGTGCATTTTTATATGAATTGATGCGAATAGTCAACAATTTAACATCAATGTATAAATAGACTATTATTTTTAACAAATAATAATCAACTGAGAAAATATAAATATAACGAATTAAAATGATAAAACAAAAGAATTTTATTTAGTGATAATTAAATAACCGATTTAAATCAAAAGATCTATTTATACAACTGCATTATCGTCGTTAATTAAATTTTTTCAAAACGAATCTATTTTCAACGTTAAAGTGATTACGGCCAACTACATGCACTTACTTTATTCTAAAATAAATTTATTTTCATAAATATTTTTTTGTTTTAAAATTCACCGGGAATAACGCACATTTATATCATCTTTCAGTGGGTTTTTTCCATCCATTCACATCCAAACAAAGTGACGCATGTAAATATTTCATTTTTTCTCTGTTTTTCTTCTTTTATTTTGTGAGTTACTTTTCTTTATGTTATTGCACAATGTATTGACATAAAACCGTTCTTTATATTTATTTGCAGAACAATCATCAAAGAGATTGTTTTAGTTAAAAAGATAAACATATGTGTCATAATTGTTTATGGATTCTACTATCGGTATTTTATGTTAAATATTAATTTTTGATAAATCTGACTTTGCTCGAATATGAAGAAAACATGGCTTCTTAATCATTGATGTGATAGCTGTATTGTGGGTGTGGCTGTTCTTCTTTGGCTTTCATCAGTCTTGGATACTTGTGTCCGCAATATACTCAGCTGTAGCATCCACATGGTCACTTCTACCACTGATATGGTCATTTCTACCTTGATATGGTCCTTTGTACCACGACTATGTTTACTTGTACCAACACTGTGGTCGCTTCTACCCCAACTGTGATCTTTTGTACCACGACTGTCGCACTTTCTACCAAGAAAATGGTCATTTGTACCAAAAAGGTGGTATCTTGTACCATGAAAATGGTCATCTGTACCAGACGAGGGGTCATTTGTACCACAGAAATGGTCATGTGTAGCACAAAAATGGTCATCGGTACCAAAAGAAGGATCATTTGTACCACAGAAATGGTGACTTGCACTGTAGGAATGGTCATTTGTACCACGGAAATGGTCATTTATACCACAGGGACGATCATTTTTGCCATGGGAATGGGCACTTGTATCACAGAAATGCTCATTTGTACCACGACAACGGTAATTTTATATCACAGAAATGGTCATTGGTACCAGAGCAACGGTTATTTGTACCATGAAAATGGTCATTTGTACCACGTGTTACAGACAGATAGACACAGGTGAATTTCTGTTTCTAGACCCTAGCCTTTCAGTCTATGGAATAGATGTCACTGTTTTTCATACATCGATTGTAAAACAAAAAAGAAAACGAAAATATGAAATTTTC